TCGACAGCCCACGACCGGTTTCGCCCTTCTTGGGGCTCATCAGGTAGTCGCAGTCCCCGATATCTCGAATATCGTACCAACTGAAACATGAGGCGGCCTGTGTGCAGCACATTCAGTTGTAGAACATCACAAACGCGAAATTCAGTTGAATCTCTCGTGAAAAACCAAATTGATTTGCAAATGAGTGTATTTCTCGAAAAACAGTACAATTTGGGTTCAAGTAGAACATAAGGTTGACGGAAACTCGGGGACTTTGCCTACTTGATGAGCCCCAAGAAGGGCGAAACCGGCCGTGGGCTGTCGAAGAGCCTTCAGCAACCTTGTGAGTAGTTTCCTTCATGAAATCTCACACGATTCAAATCAATGTACTTTTCCAAGCCCCCCCTGCAACAATTCTCTTCGAGGTAAGACACTGCAGAATGAATTGCTATTATCTTCACCCGTTTTCGCCCGAAGTCGATTCAGTACTGATCTAGAGGGGGCATTAAACACCGATTTGCGAACAAAGTTAACGGGGAATTCAGCTGAGTTTCTTGTTTATTATATTCTTCAAACTGATATGCTTAATACAGGTTGCATCAATTTTTATTGGAATGGCATTTAAGCTATCGAAGTATTTTACTCCACCAGGCTTCTGTAGTTCCATCTTTTCGGGAACGTCAGGTGGGCCTAGTTGTCGAATTCCCGTGTTTTGCAAGTGAAAATTCGAGGACTATATCTGCGTGATTTACCCGGTAGTGTGCTGCTGAGGTAAGTAGCATGATGTCAACGGAGATATCAGTCAAATCTGTGAAAATCCGTCTCCTCCCCATACAAAACTACGATCGTCTTAAGTTCGGTGTGTGTGTGTGGGGAGGTTGAAACACCACAATTTATGGAAAGTTACGTTACACTGCCTCTCGACTTACCCTGTCTAAACTTGGGCAACCTGGCAGTATCCCAGCCCTCATGCAGCCTTCAGGTGGCATGGCAGTTAGGCACCCAAAGGGTGCGACAGCTGAACGAAACTTTAGCGATTCGCGTTGCAACCTATCTCTGAAAAACGTGGATTGCCTCAATCAGGTGAATCAGATACCCGATTCGGTCTGAAGTAACGATTAAATTTGTTCATAGATTAGACAAATATTTCTGAAGGGATTTATGAAGCGACACTTTTTGTTGTTTACAATTTTTCCTCGGAACTAGTATGTTCCTTCAGGGTACCAAGCCATTAAGTAAAAATGTATTCGTGTACTGCACAATGAAATTACCAAGAGCTGATTAGAATAAACAACACTTGTGATTTCGTCTTTCTTATCACATACCAGACTCAACGCGTCGCTACTAACTTACTGTCAATCAATAGGTAGAAGTAGAGTAGTAGCGCTGTTTTTGAGGTGTTTCTGCGTGCACAGTATGATGCTATCAGAAACAACTGGCTGTTCACAACTAGGATAATTTCACGTGTAACCCGGAGTGTATCACACGCGATTGATTTTCTTCTTTGAGTATGTGCACACAAATGACGCAGACAGGTCACCTGAGCTTGGTGTGAAACAGTGGTTTAACTGCGTATATGATCATGTGGGTGACGCCAGCAAAAATCGACATGTACTTGAGTAGTTGTATTGTTACATCTTACGGGTCCGTTGGTCTTTCAGCAATCGGTTGAAGTTGAATCTCATAAACGAGAGATTCAGCTGGGTTTCAGGTGAGTCTCTCGAAAGAACCAAATTAGTTTGCAAATCAGTGTATATTCGATAATCTCGTGCAACTTGGTTTCAAGTAGAACATAAGGTTGACGGAAACCCGGGGACTGCGCCTACCTGATGAGTCCCAAGAAGGGCGAAACCGGTCGTGGGCTGTCGATGGATTTTCAGCAACCTTATGAGTAGTACATTACAAAGAAGCACACCATTATGTTTCACGAAGATAATTCCACTTTAAGCCACCGTCCAAATCGTCATTTAAGACTTCATATTTCAAAGTTCTTCGTTGCTGCATCAAGATTTCAGTGGAAAAATTGAGCTTACAGCTGTGATTTACCTTCGGTGCTCAGCTGCCTTGAAATCCTAAGGGAACACGAAAGTTGCAATACCGCAGGGTTGCTGAAGCCTAGGTGACATCAGAATGCGAACCTATGGACGAGGAGCTTCCAACCCATCCCGACATTTCCTTTATTCCAGAGAATGAATATGAAACACCGGACGGCAAACAGGATGAGTAAACGCGGTTTTGAGTTACACTGGATTATTGAGTACAACGGTCCAAGTATAAATGAGTATCAAACACACAAAAGTGTTTACCATAGAACCCTCGTCACTTTGACTGGATTCGACCTGCTTCTTGCGTTTTGGAACCATTTTCAACGTACTATACGTAGTATTTCCACCTGGAGAACAATTTTAGTCACCGATGGCTGCATACCGATGTATACATCAAACATGATAGCTGAGGGATCATCATGTTATTTGGCCGGGAGCACCTGAGAAGTTCGGAGCGAGATGTAAATCAAGTCTTCGGATGTTTACTTCTGAGATTTATTGCGCTTGGTGATGTACGTGTGTCGAGTACTTACAGACCAGTCTGGTAGCATGCTTTTCGGTGTTCAGTATTTCCATGTATTCACTTCTAAAGTATTCAGACTTGCGGTACATTTATACAAAACAGTACGAACCCTTTGAACTCTTCAGAGTTTATCTAAAGATGTACGTATACGCGTGGAAGCACGAGGGACGGAAAGGCAGGTGATTATGTAGGCCCCCGGACATTAATCAAAATACTCGTCTATGAATAGATGTAACCTTCCCCAAAACTTTATTGTACACACCGATCCTTCACGGTAGTGAAAGGATCCTGGGAGCCAGTCTTTTTAATGAGATCGCAAACCAGGTTTCTTCTGATAAGATTTGTTCCTGTGGGAGCCCTTCGAAGAACAATTAGGGGGTTTGATAGGTGGAGGGAGGCTAAAGCAACAAGAAATAGGAAGATATCTATGCTTTTAAGACACCTTTTTTTACACTGCATGCATTACGAATCATTTGAAAAAGATGTAGACATTCTGTTGCTGTCTAAGGTATCACTACGTTTTGCAGTTAACCTTAATTTTCCATTCTCTCTGCTATATTCTCTAGTTCGTAGCAGCCAGTGCCTGGCTGTTGTTATCAGTTTACTCACATTGACTCTAAGGATTTTAAAATTTAGCTAACTTTTTGTAACCCCTTGCTCTATCAGGCCCAGCATCTCTGTACCAGATAACTCATAGTTACTCTAGAAGGCGATCTTGTAATATTTAGTAGTCTAATAGTGAAGCACAGTAAGATACCAATTAGCACAGCGGTTTCCCCACACACTAGACAAACAAGCATTGGTTCAGCCCTGTGACACGTGAGCATCTGGTAAATCTTCATCGATCTGATCACGTGATTCTGGGTGAATGAACGGAACTGCTGCATGTCATTAGTGCTGTAACTCTGCGAAGGACTACCTGTGCTTCACTGGACCAGTTGATGAACACACATTCGAGTCTTTGCTTTTTAGGAGTGCACTTCTAGTTCAGTTATGATTGATGGAGGGTGGAGCGGGATTTCGGGTCAATACTACTAGCAATGAATGAGCAAGCAAATAAGTAGCTAAGTAAGTGGCAAGTAAGGGATTATGAGCAGTGTGCCTAGGAAGGTAGAAATCCCGTAAGTAGCCCGGGCCCTTCTTCTGACAAGTCTTTACTTCAGGTACCAATCAATGCAGGCCACGTGATGTTAACTGAAGGATAGCGGCGCAAAACTTTATCTACATGAAAATTATCCATACTAGTGAGGAGACCATTGTAGCTAAACTGCCAGCTAGTGGGTCATGGGTTCGAATCTCCAGGAGATCCGTCAGATACGCACTGCGATTATCCACAAAGACTGAACAGCCGCACAACGTTCCTGCGTTCTTCAGCACCCGCAGGGTGGACTTTCGGTTGCAACTTTGAAATCTCCTGATAATCAACAAACGGTTTAATCATGGCTGCGCATTTAATTGCCAACCTGTTTAAAAAGCGTGCCTGATGGGCTTTCAGTTCAGTCGAAGGTCAAACGAGATGACTGAGTCAACAAACCGAGTAGTAGTTACCGAGCAAGTGACGTGGGATGTTGGGAGCTGATGTCAATGTGTCCAACTCTGAGGGTTTATTTTTTTATATTGGGAAACTAACAACAGATACTTAGATACCAAACACAAGTGCAGACGCATTAATGATGCGTTCGCCATGTATGACATCTATGTATTGGGTGGACTCAGAACTGGTTCCTTTAAATCCAAACTGTAGAGGATGAAGGACTTACCCGGATGTACAAGTTGATGGCTACTTCCCATCAGATTCCTTACCAACAAAGTTACCTCAGCGAAAGGTTGAAAACGGGTAAGAAAGAATAGTATTAGTTAGTTCTTTAAATTTAATCTCCCGGAAGCCGATGATTAGCAGTTAAAAAAGTGCGCTAAAATCGGCTTTCGGAAATTGTGAACCATTTTATGGAATAGGTAGAAATATGACGGTCAGCCTTTTGACCCTTTCCCGTTTTTGCTTTTGTCGTATTCACGTGAGGACACGAAGCAAACCACAGTCGAAAATAACAGACGAACCTGTGCCTCAAATTCACACTGCTCAAGCAGTCCGACAGTGACTTTGCGTAACAGGTCAGTCGTTTATTCGACCGGCTCCCGAATATCCATCGGGTTGTCTTTGCAGTACATTTTTACTGCGACCAACAGTTTGTCGGAATTTTACTGAAGAGAGACCCCAAGACAAAATGAACTGTGTGATGGTTCATATCGAGAAAATGCGTGACCCGAATCCAACTCATCAAATATCAGCTACACACTAATCGATTTAAGAAAACTAAAACTATCATGAAGTTCGCAAAGTTGATTCCCACGTGTGCTTTCATAGCATTCAAAATCTATGGGGTGTCCTTTTCGGAAACTCGTCAGTCGGAGCTGGTGTGCAAGGAGCCTTTGTGTTCATCGGTGAAGGTAAATGCTGTTGGTTGTAAAACATCTGTCCAGCATACACCATGCTTAAAGGCACAGTTCTGTGGGTGCATCGGGGGCAGTGTCGCAATCCGAAAGCGAAATTTCGTTGTTGACGAA